CATTTATCAAGTAACATTCATAAAAGTACAACAGACGTCATACATGAGCATGAAAATAGCAAATACCATTGATTTACCTTGATCTGCAACTAGCTGGATTAATAAAATGCAAAATTCGCGGAACTTTTTACTTACGAGAAGATTTCGAACAAGGGACGCAACTCCTATCGTTCTGGTCCGTCAGCTTGGAGCAGCGATCTAAATTTCAACTATATGAAAACGACATTGCATGTAAATTAAAAAGAAAGAAGCTGTTGCTATTCTATGAAAATTATTTATTGATAATATTATACATAAGAGATGATTAAAATTCACAACATATTTGTTTCAGTCTAAGTTGAGTATTTTTTCTGGTCCCTGTCAAAAAAATATAAAAAATAAACCCTTTAGGCATATAACGGCAAAAACCTTTCTCATATTAAATTGTCAAAAATGATGACACTACATCGATGCTAAGCTTTATTCTGTAACCATATATTTAAACGGTCGCTGCTCCAGGCTGTCGGGCATTATTTGAATATATACAGTATGTCTTTTAAGTTGGTGTTTGCAGTTGAGTTTGACAGTCTAAAAAAAATGTCATACTGGAATTTCATTGGAAAGGAATATATGACGTTTGGAGGCGTTGTTACACTCCCGATTTAAACAGATACAGAAATAAAACATCTGTTTAAAGAAATAGAAACACTAATTTCTACTCTTTCAGAAGCTCTATTTAAAATTAAGTGTCTGTTAGAAGAAAATTAGTTAGAACTTGGTAAATGACAAAATGTACACTCGCGTCTTCGGAAAATATCCGCATATTTAGTAAACTAGATTTCTCTTTTGAAAGTAGAGGAAATGTATACGAGCTACATACGGTATGCTAACATTTTTTAATTACTTTTTCTCACGATATTATGCATTTTTTGGGAGATTTTGCTTCACTCACTCATTACACCCACAGCGGACTGACGATCGGAAGGTCCTTCCCCATAATCGATGTAGTCAAAAGATGCTAAAATTATAGTGAAATCTGAGATGCAACGGGTTCCTTAAAACGACAACAAAATAAATATATAATACAAGAAATGTTCTGAATAAATAATTAAAAAATACCCCAGAAAATTACCTATTTCAATCATTAGATTCAAAGTGCGTATTTTATATTCGATGATAGAGAAATTTCAGTCTGGAGGACTCGAATCCCCAACTCATTTCAATTTTCTCAAAATTGGTCTGTGATATTTCATTCTTTAAAGTTCAATTTTTTTTTTGAATGATATTTCACCTCAATTTTAACTCATTTGTTTTCAAAAACTCAATGAAATCCATTATATAACTCTATAGAACAGGACAATTGAAAACGAATTTTACAATATCTATTCTTCCATATTAGAAATTATCCGACACACTTGTCCATCACTTAACCGCATATGTAGCAAATAAATCATCCACGTGCACGTGGTCAGCCAGTAGAGTGGTCACTCTAAACAGAGCTCCGACGAAACTGTAAAGCTACTGCACCATGGAGTGTCATTCCAGCATCGGGGGAACCATGGGTCGCTGAGGTAGCTGTGTGGAGGAGGAAAGTTGGTAAAAATATCTGTATTTGATGTTTCAGTACTTTATAAAATTTCCAATACTGGCCTTGAGGTCACAGTTCACTGACTTTCTGTTATGTCCACGTTACCTGTACGTTCTGATGCCTATTTATAGATTGATAAACAACTCACCTGCGGCCCTGGTTCCTCGAGTACGCGTACATTGAATTATATTTTATATGTAACATGAGCATTAAAATAAACACTGGTAAAAGAGAACGTTCAAACCAATCTACGTCGTCGTCGTCTAAATCGAGATCACCAAAAAAGAATACATAACGGTACCATTTTAAACGATAGTTATCTGACTATGGACTATCATAATCCAAGTCCGATCATGGCTATGAACTATATTCCGCCTCAGCAACTCAATTTTCAAGGATCGCCTATGCTGGCCCCCTCCCAAGGTGTTTCCCAGGTCCAAAACCTTGCACCGCAACTGATGTCAACCCCCGGCCCTCACCATCCCGCATTCAGCCTGTCTGACCTTGACATTCAGCGCATTGCTCTCAGTGTTCGAAATCTGATATTAACTGATATACAGGCTATGGTCAATAACAAAATCGTGCCCCTTAGAGTCGAAATCAATGTACTTAAATATGAAAATGACGATCTTTAATTTAAATTAGATGACCTTGAGCAATACAATCGTAGGGAATGTGTCATATTTTCTAGGTTCGAGGAGTCCAATGGTGTCAAAAACCCAACAGAGATGACTCTTGATGCGGCCAGCAAACTTCCAGAGAACATTGTTAGGTCCCATCGTGTTGCACCTAGGAGGAATAACAAACCATGACAAATCATTGCTCGGTTGGCTAGTCGCGCATCCTCGATATCCAGGGGTTACGCTCACTTTCGCTCTCTGCACCCCTGGAATATGTTATAGCAAAATTGAAGGCACGAAGATAGTTGTTTGATTGGTCTCATGTAAAAAAAACAACCTGACCAATCGCTAGGCTGATACTTGTCCTTTGAAGATTACAAAGGAGAGACGCCCGACTTCAAAGCCTGTCAATTTTTACCGTTACGTGTCCGCGAGATTCTTTTGATGTTCATCAAAGGATCAAACTAGTTTTCTTGTCTCATCAACAAGGTGGCTCACACTAAGCTTTCAATTTTGCTATGACATATTCCAGGGATGCAGAAAGCGAAAGTGAGCGTAACCCATGGATATCGAGGATGCTAGTCGCGAGGCGAAACGCAATCTTATGATGGCGAGGAAACGTTTCAAGGAAATCCCGACTTGAAAAACATAATGGTTAATGAGGATCTTACAAAGATTAGGAACTCCATCTGTTTCCACGTCAGGAACTTAGTGAAGTTCACAAAGATCCTGCTAACCTGGTCGATTGACGGGAAAATCTTTATAAAAAATCTCTGGTGAAAGGATCTCTATTCGACGTGAGAGCGATCTCGTACCCTTCGGCCATGTCCTATCAACGACCCTCGACACTAATGGTGTCTCGGTCATAATTGCCCGTGATTCGACAGATTGAATGTAACTCTTTAACACAACCTACACTTGCTACCTGGGCCGTTTTCGTTTAAACGGTCAAACCGATCGGACCACTGTTGTTCGTTTATTAAATAAGGTCGGACCTAGTAATCTGATGCTGCTTTCAGGCGAGCCTTGAGAAAGCCTTGCAAGGCCTGCATACACATTTGCAGGTCCGCCAGGATTTATACCCGAAATTGTTACATTTATAAACTGTCAAACCGGTTGTTCCGCATAAACGAACAGGCCCCAAGTGTCTTTAATTTACTTATGTTATTCTGGTCCTTAGCTAAATTCCTGTTTCAGCTCTCTACGGACGTGGAAAGAGAGTTGAAACCAACATTCATCTCGTACGCTGAATTCTGGCAGCGTTATTGAAAGTGTTACACTCAATTGCTGTTACTATACCAATTAAATCTGATTTAATATTGAACAAATAGACAAATGGCTTGCTCTATCAAAGTATATTGTACATGTACATTATTGTTACTTACCTTACATCACTCTGGTGCATAATGTCTCCATATGACCCGTTTTATGTTTCTTTTTATATGTTGACATTTTGGTTGTTGCTGTTACTGTTGTTGTTGGAATGGCTTACATCAGAGTACAGACCATGAACACTTTTTTTGTAAAACTTTTATTATTCACAAAATCTACATGGACACTTTATCGTAGAGGGTGCGGTTTATAAAAATACTTACCTCTTCTACGTTTCTGGTATTACCTGATGCCGTCTGATGCAATATGTCATCGAATTAAAACCGGCGCATTCTACTACAAATCCGTTACCTTATTCTTACATAAACGCCTAGATCCACTGACTGTACTGGCGGCAAACCTAGTTATCCGCTATAAATGGAAAGCCTTACCCGTAATTATCTGTATTTTTCTATATAACAATGGTATAATCATGAAAGGTTAAAAAGACACATGCCTCTGAATTCAGTAAGTATTGGTATGTCTTACCTCTATCGATTTTATTATTAGACATCCACTTACTTTTGTACGATCTTCTTGCCAAGTGTGGAGATGTCGAAAGTAATCCAGGTCCGACTACAGATGACGAACATAGAAGTATTTACCTAAAATTGATGTTGTTTACTGAACTTAATATGTTTGACGTGCTGGCACTCACTGAAACGTGATTAAACCCCTTGAACGAGACGTTGAACGATCTAATTCACGGTGATTTTTATCCAACTTTTTGTCAAAGTAGACAAGAGCGAATTGGCGGCGGTGGGGCGGTTTATGTTCTGAACAAAATAATGGTAAAACGGCGTAAAGATCTCGAGATTAGGAACATCGAAAGTGTATGGCTAGAATTAAAACTGAAATCCCAGAAAATGCTACTTGGTACTTTTTATCGTCCACCAAACACTAACGACCACTATTGGAATTTGATCCACTTTTCTTTAGAACTTGCATATAATACCGGTATTACGAACATCCTGATTACTGGATATTTGAATGAAAATATGCTAATGACGAGTAACTGTGCCCTTAAAGAAACCATAAACCAATTTGACTTAAAGCAGTTAATTACTGAGCCAACACATTTCACTGAAACCTCGAGATCTTTACCTGATGTGTTCCTCGTTAGCAATGACAGTAGTGTTAACATTCCTACGTAAATGACCCTTTTCCTAATAGTAACCTTATATACAATTGTCCTATATGTGCTTAGTTGAAATTTAATCGTTCACCAAATAATAAATGCACTAAACGTCGTATATATATACAGATTGTGATTTTAACGATTATCGTGATAAATGGAATAATGTTATCTGGAACGAAACAGAAGCATTATCGATAGATAACACTGCAGATTTTCTTTCAACGACGATTTCCAAAGTAGCCTCAGACACCATACCTAACAAAGTAATAACATTACGAAAACACGACCCCCCTGGATGCACAGCAATATACGCAGATTGATCAGAACTAGGAAAAGAATTCATGCTAAAGCTAAACACACACACAACCCTCTTCATTGGGAAACATTCAGAAAACTAAGAAATGCCTGAGTTGATGCTATCCGCAATGAAAAAATATTACTACACTAAAACATCTTCTCATCTTCAAATTACGCCTTGTTCTTCTAGAAACTGGTGGAAAATCTTAAACTCTCTTTCATGCAAAACAACTGATATACACGATGTACCTATGCTGATTTACAATGGCAATGCATACACTAATGACAAAGAAAAAACCAATGCAGTTTATAACTATTTAGTCCAACAGACTGAACTTGACGATTCACATCATACTCTACCAGTTATTAATGACAACAATACCATTATAATTGACAATATTAATATAACAACTCTAAACGTGTCTGACACCATTGATATATTAGATGCTTCTATAGCATATGGGCCGGATATGATAAATGGTAAATTTTTAAAAGAAGGTAAACGACAATTAATAGGGCCTCTTTGTAATCTTTTTTTACAAATCACTACGTAATCAACATCGACTCGTAAATTGCCATACGTTTTATCATACGGGCACTTGCTGTGGAAATGAACATTGTTTTTGTCATTTTAGCTTTTGTGTCGTATACAGAAACAAGTGTCGCTGTTTGATAGCTGAAACCTACTATCACCGATCTAGTCTTAGCCCTGAAATACACAATCTCAATGATTACTATAAAGCACTACAGACATTTCTCATATATCTGTTATGTTTGGAGTCATAAGAAATATTACACAGCTTTGTGTAAACCACAGCAGCACCGCCAATGTCAATAGTGTTCATATTTTCATTTCAACAAATTTTATTGACAAGGTTGATACAAGTAAATTGGATGAAATAACAAGCAAAGCCTATATACATTCTCTCCAACGGTGGCCAAAGTAATGGATCCTGCAATTTTGGAATTGATTGAATTTATACATCAATTGTGAAATAAAAATTATAAACA